TGGAGAGGGTGTGGAGAAAAGGGAACACTTCTGCACTGCTGGTGGGAATGTGAATTGGTACAGCCACTATGGAGAACAGTATGGAGGTTCCTTAAAAAACTACAAATAGAAGTACCATATGACCCAGCAATCCCACTACTGGGCATATACCCTGAGAAAACCATAATTCAAAAAGAGTCATGTACCACAATATTCCCTGCAGTTCTATTTACAATAGCCAGGAGATGGAAGCAACCTAAGTGTCCATTATTGGATGAATGGATAAAGAAGATGTGGCACATACAATGGAATATTACTCATCCATAAAAAGAAACGAAATTGAGTTATTTGTAGTGAAGTGGATGGACCTAGAGTCTGTCATACAGAGTGAAGTAAGTCAGAAAGAGAAAGACAAATACCATATGCTAACATATATATATGGAATCTAAGAAAAAAATGTCATAAAGAACTTAGGGGTAAGACGGGAATAAAGACACAGACCTACTAGAGAATGGACTTGAGGATATGGGGAGGGGGAAGGGTAAGCTGTGACAAAGTGAGAGTGGCATGGACATATATACACTACCAAACGTAAGGTAGATAGCTAGTGGGAAGCAGCCGCATAGCACAGGGAGATCAGCTCAGTGCTTTGTGACCACCTAGAGGGGTGGGATAGGGAGGGTGGGTGGGAGGGAGACCCAAGAGGGAAGAGATATGGGAACATATGTATAACTGATTCACTTTGTTATAAAGCAGAAACTAACACACGATTGTAAAGCAATTATACTCCAATAAAGATGTTAAAAAAAAAAGAGTTGCTGGTTTTGGAGAAGATCAAAAGAATTTACATAAAGATAGCATTTATACAAAGATGGAAATTGAAAAAAATTTTTGATTGTGTATTCAGCAAAAACTGTAATAAACAAGAGGAAATGACAAACATTTCCAACAGACAGGTCAAAAAAAAAATGCCCAGATTTATCAATATACTCCATAGTGGAATACTGAAAGCATTTCCTTTGCAATCAATACGGTCAAGAATGGACATTTTCATGACTTTAATTCAACATAGTACTGTATTGCCTAGATACAACTATCAGAACAATAAAAAAGAGGGGCATCCAAATCAGAAAGGAGGAAGTAAACTGATCTCTGTTCACAGATGATAAAATCTTACACAGAAAACCCTAAAGAATCCTCCTGAATAAACAAATACAGAACTCATGAACAAATTTAGCAGAATTCAAAATATAAAATCAAACATAAAAATTAGTTGTGTTTCTATAAACCTAAAAAAATCAGGAAAGATATTAAGAATATATGTACAGTGAGAGAGTGGCACGGACATATATACACTACCAAATGTAAAATAGATAGCTAGTGGGAAGCAGCCACATAGCACAGGGAGATCAGCTCAGTGCTTTGTGACCACCTAGAGGGGTGGGCTAGGGAGGGTGGGAGGGAGACGCAAGAGGGAGGAGATATGGAGATATATGTATATGTATAGCTGATTTATTTTGTTATAAAGCAGAAACTAACACACGACTGTAACACAATTATACTCCAATAAAGATGTTAAAAAAAAAGAATATATGTAAATTTATATTCGTAGCATCAAAGAGAATAAAATACTTAGGAGTTAACTTAATGAAGGAGGTGAAAGACTTGTATGATAAAAATTATAAAAGATTGCTGGAGGCAAATAGAGAATATATAAATAAACAAAAACACATTCCATGTTCCTGAACTGGAATACTTAATGTCATTAAGTTGTCAATAGTACCCAAGGTGATCTATAGTTGCAAAGCAATCTCTATCAAAATCCCAATCAAAATTTTGACAGAAATAGAAAAGCTCATTCTAAAATGTATGTGAAATATCACGAAACACTAAACGTCCAAAACATTCTAGTAGAGAAAGTGTGAAGTTGGAGGCATGACACTTCCTGATTTTTAAAACATAAAACTATAGCATTTTACAATGCCATGGTTATCAAAAAGGGTAGTACAAACATGTAGACAGAAAAAGAATAATGGAACAATAAAGAGAGCACAAATATAAGGTCTCAAGGTCATGGTCAAATAATCCTCAACAAGAGTGCCTACACCACCCAATGGGAAAAGGATAGTCTCTTAAACAAATGGCACTGGGAAAATTGGATGTTTGAATGAAGAAGAATGAAGTTGAACTCTTACCTAACACCACTTACAAATACTATCTCAAAAGGGACTAGGGGCTTCCTTGATGGAGCAGTGGTTGAGAGTCCGCCTGCCGATGCAGGGGACGCGGGTTCGTGCCCCGGTCTGGGAAGATCCCACATGCCGCGGAGCGGCTGGGCCCGTGAGCCATGGCCGCTGAGCCTGCGCGTCCGGAGCCTCTGCTCCGCAACGGGAGAGGCCACAACAGTGAGAGGCCCGCTTTGGCACGGAGCACAGCACCCAAACTGGAGTAGGCGCTGGATATGGTTTGAGGCATAAAACATACTAACTGATGAAATAGAATTTAAAGCCAAAAAAAAAAAAAAAAAAAAAGGGACTGAAGATTTAAACATAAACCTGTATCTATGTATCTCTTCGAAGAAAACAGTGGGGAAATGTCCTAAGACATTTGATTTGGCAAAGATTTCTTGTATGTGAAACTAAAAACTCAGGCAACAAAAGCAGTACAGTCAGGGAATTCCCTGGTGGTCCAGTGGTTACAAATCTGTCTTCCAATACAGGGAACACGGTTTCAATCCCTGGTTGGGGAATTAAGATCCCACAGGCCGCGGGGTGACTAAGCCTGCACACTGCAACTACTGAGCACGTAGGCCACAACTAGATAGCATGTGTGCTGCAACTACAGAGCTCACTTGCCACAACTACAGAGCCCGTGTGCTCTGGAGCCTGTGCACCACAACTAGAGAGAAGTCCACGCGCTGCGGAGGAGGATCCTGCGTGCCCCAACAAAGATCCCATGTGCCGAGGCTAAGAACCAACAAAGCCAAAAATAAAATAAATAAATAAATATTTTTAAAGAAAAGCCAATGGGATTACATTACATGTAAAAACTCATGCACATTAGAGGAAAGAGTCAATGGGGTGAAAAGGCATCCTGTGGAATAAGAGAAAAATTTTGCAAAGCATGTAACTCATATGGAGTTACAATCCAGAATACATAAAAAACTCCTACAACATAAAACATTATGTTTATGTTGCAACTCCTAGCAACATTAAAAAACAAATAACACAATGTATGGGCAAAGGATTAAATAGACATTAATCCAAATAAGATACACTTATGGACAACAGAAATGTGAAAGATACTAAAAATCAGTAATCATTTGAGAAATAAAAAAGAAAACGACAATGAGGTGTCACCTTACAGCCAACTTGCATATATATAGATATATATGCAAGGATGTGGAGAAATTGGAATCCTTATGCACTAAGGAAATATAAAATGTCACAATCGCGATAAAACACAATATGGAGGTTTCTCAAAAAATTAAAAATAGAACTTCCCTCACACAACAATAATATAAATTCATCAGTAAATAGATGTGAAATTAAGACTATTTCTATAACTACTCACCAAGACAGAATAAAACAAACATTGATCATTAACTAAGAAGAGAAATAAAGTAGGTAAGCCACAAACACAGTAGGGGTAATAATTAAAAGACAAAGACATGCATAATTTTATTGGCAGTAGACATATGGGACATTCAAATTTGAATGCAACACCACACTGTCTTAAGTGTACTGAGTTGAAAATTGCCATGTACATTCATGAAATATAGGTAAAGACAAAAATACAATTAACTAATTTGGGAGAACCTATCATTAAAAATAAAAAGCAAATAGTTATGGAATTGCTAAACAAGAATAAGAGAAAATTTTACTCTCTCAATTTCTGAAAAATCGTTTATATACTATTAAAATATAATCCTTCTAAATAATTTTGAAATGGTTTATGCACGCATAAAGCAACCATTTTGAATCACTGGCACGTGTTGCAAGGCAGGAGAATTTCACAGAAAATGCATTATAATGAATCATTTAAAAATCTCTAATGGAAAATTTGAATGAATTATTTAAATAACAGTAGAGAAATTTGTCATGTTATTAATATATTACTGCTATACATACACAAATTATCAAGGCTGTAACCCATACTTTAGAAGAAAAATAAAACCTTATTTATAAATAAAAGAACATGAAAGTTGTAAAATCTGCAGAGAATCATTGATATATAAAATAATAGTTGTGATTACATTATACCATGATTCAGATACACACTGAGGAAAGTAAATGAATAAAATGACTACTTTTTGGTTGAAGAAATGAACCAAACATTTTCACAAATACAGGGTGCCTTCTAATTATCTAAGGCACTTCTTACCAAAGATGTTTTCATATGAGCATGTTATACTAGATCTTTTGAATCTAAAATCATGTATGATTTTGACACAGAACTAATGAGAAAGTGAAAAAATACAGGACACAGCAACTATAAGTGCCATAAATAAGGCGCTTAAATAAGGCAGACTTATAAAATTACAGTTATTAGGAAATTAAACAACAATTGGGACTTTAAAATATGGTAGTCAATGTTCCAAGCGCTGCTATGGAATGAACATATTCAAGACTTCTATGAGATAAATAAACATATTAAGTTATTCTACCATTGATGGATTGGGCAAGTACACTTAAAATGTCTCACGTTAGTTCATAGAAAGTAAAAATGTCTCATGTTAGTTCATTGGAAGTAAAATGGAGGATAACATTTTATAATTCTGGGGAGATGCTTGATGCTCTGATGAAATGACTGAGTCTGAACTTTGTAGGGTCATGTTTGAAGTTTCCATTGGATTGGGTATTCCAAGAATTTTGTCACCTAATCCCAATATCTCCATGACTCTCCTCACACATTTCTGACTTGAGGCAGAAACAGAACTTAACATAGAGTTACTCAGAAATGTAAACAGTTTTCCCTAGAACCTCCAAAGCAACAGAAGGGCAGTCAGATCATGAGGGTCATCACAGGCCAAGAGGAGGATTTTGGCTCTCACTGTGAATGTGAGGGATAATCACTGGGGCTGAAGACGAATACACGGAGGATTTAAGAGCCTAAGATGCGGGCAGGAGATGTCCCTCTATGACAGCAACAGAAATAAATCTAGGCTTCGCAAAAATCATTTCCATTGAAGCATGCCTTCCCAAGCCATATTATAAGATATGAGTTCCTCTGTGATCTTTGGACCTCTCACCTGTGTCATCTGCTTCATCCATTCGCACGTACCTGGTTATACAGCTACTGTCTCCACTCCCTTCACATCTCAGGGATTCTTCTTTTACTCCAAAAAGGGAACCTGTTAATTAGAAAAATGAACATAAGTTTTCTTGGAGATCCTACAGTTTCCAATCCAGTATTGAGCTTAGATGAGAAGAGAAGGTACTGTAGAATGTTAAAATATTCTAGAAATTGACTTCCCCAATTACCGGTCTTTTGAAAGCTCCTGTATTGTAGTAGACAACAGTTAAAAAATCAGATCCTGAGATTCTGACCAAGAACTATTAAGTAAAAAATCAAGGGTAAAAGTCTGAATTTAAGATGCGGGCAGCACTATCTTATAGTACTGAACTTATAGAATTACCACTAACCTAGTGAAGGATGAAGATTACCTCAAGAAAGAAGGAGGTTGGAATCATGATGAATCATCATGCAGCCTTTCTGTCTACACCCACAAACTCTCATTTTTTTTCCTTGAAAGCAGGGATCTGAAACTCTATTGTAGGACACAGAAGATTCCAGGAGACTTTCTACAAATGAAGGAACCAAAACCCTGTGGATGGATAAGGAATTCTGGAAGGAAGTTATCCACACCCAAGGAGACCAGGTTCCTATAGTTCTCTAACATCACATCCTTGTGAACAAGATCAGGCATTCCCACTAATCCTGAGAAAATTCTGTGGCCACATTTGTGAATGTCAACAGTCCCTGAGATTAAAGAGTACATTTGCCAAGTGGCAAAATGGGAAGAGTTCATTATTTGACCCAAGATGAAAACAGCAAGTTAAGAGAACTGGTTTGATTTAGGACAGTGTCTTGAATTATGCAATAATTTTTTTTACACAGAAATATTCTGTATCATATTTCTAACTCCAAGAAAAGAGGATGACATATGATTCATGACACCACTGTAGAGACTATTATTATCTTGAACAGAAATTATAAAATGATGGCATAAACACAGGCATAGGCATTTTTGAATGTTGTACTTTCAATACACAGGATAAACTGTATATATTTCTCAGGTGGAAAAGTAAAACTGTCATATTTTAATATGTAAGAAAGCAAACTGGGGATAATGTAAAAATGCAGATTTTTGACTCAAGAGCTCTGGAGTGGAGCCTGAGTTCCACATTTTTGACAAGCTCACTTTTAACTAGTAATGCCAATGTCTCTGGTCCATGTACCACATATTTTGATACCATAACTGTAGAACAGCATGGTAACAATCTATGGTTAACTTTGAACTTAAAGTGTTTAATTGATTTTGCAGGTCTAATAGAATAGTAAGCATACCAGCAACAATTCTTTTTCAATATTTATGATATATAATATAGATTTCTACCTTTTTTAACATATTATTGAATGCACCACATAAATAACTGAAGAAACATAATGTTACTTTTCCTTTTTTTGAGAATATTTTGTCAAACATTCATAAAATGGTAGAGCTTGGGTTTCACTCCAGTTTACTTGAACTAGAATTCATCTAAAAAGAACACAGACAAATACACAGACAATCCTACTCAAAGTTTATAGCAGTTTCCATAACTGGGAAGAGCAACAGAAACAATAAAAAAGGATCAGATAATGTTAACATATCGTGCACACAGTTATACATAAAAAGAGCAACTTTGTACATATTTAAAGTGATAGAGTATGTGGAGTCCAAACTACAACACAAATGAATATGTCTACACAACAGAAACAGACTCACAGACACAGAGAACAGACTTGTGGTTGCCAAGGGGGAGGGGATTTGGGGGAGGGAGTTTGGGATTAGCAGATGCAAACTAGTATATATAGGATGGATAAACAAGGTCCTACTGTATAGCACAGGGAATTGCATTCAATATCCTGTGATAAATCATAATGGAAAAGAATATGAACAAGAATATATATATATCTATAAATGAGTCACTTTGCTGTACTGCAGAAATTAACACAATATTGTAAATCAACTATACTTCAATAAAATTTAAAAACATAAAAGTGATAGAGAAGAAAATATACATGTCAACAAAATCAAAATTTTTACTTAGATAAATCTTATAAATCTGTGGAGGATAATCTTTGTATTTTTAAAATGCACTAGGGTGCAAACATACATAGTGATATAAAATAAATTAGAGCTATTGGTTTAAATCTTTTCGTTCCTTTAAGATCTTTATAGTTTGTGCTGAGCTATATATTAGAAATTTGACACCATTAATGTAATATGATGCTTGGAAACTTTCTGGAGAATGCAAAGGAGTGATAAAAAAAAAAAAGTATGTCAGCGACATGAGTGTGGAGTATAATGGAAACTGTCAAAACCTTGACTGATGAAAAGGCTTGAAGAAAACCTTCACTTAAGGGCTTCCCTGCTGGCAGAGTGGTTGAGAGTCCACCTGCTGATGCAGGGGACACAGGTTCATGCCCCGGTCCGGGACGCTGCGGAGCGGCTGGGCCCGTGAGCCATGGCCGCTGAGCCTGTGCGTCTGGAGCCTGTGCTCCGCAAAGGAAAAAACCTTCACTTACAAAACCCAGTATCTCTAATAAGCAAAGTTGAATTTTTATATTTCAAAGCCAACTGCAAACAAAGAGAAACTAAAAAGAAATGGAGTCTCTACATTAACTGGAATGGTTTATACATTTCCCTCATTAAATCTTTCCAAGACCGTTATTAAGGATAAAAAATTTTGAACTTCATAGTGCAGGAAATTGGCAGAAAGTACCTGAATCAGTGAACCTCAGCTGTAATGGGATAAATTGGTATCAGGTGACTGAAGCACGCAGCAGGACACATTATCACTGCTTAGGTATTCTGGGCAAAAATAAGGAAATCAGAATCTACCAGGGAAAAAGATGAGTTTTATGCAAATTCCACTCCATATATACCTCCTTTGCTCCGTATCCCTAACAGTGCATTTAAATAGTAAGTTTTTCTTACAAATAGAGAAAATAGCCGCTAATGTTTTCTTCGGAACTTTCTGAGGGATTCTGGATCATTAAAGTCAACCTGTTTTTACGTGCATTTTCTTAATCCTGTTCTAAAGAGCTGCTGTTGCATCCATATATCAACTAAACACTTCACTCTTCCCTTCTCACTAAGATCCCCAGATCCAGCCCCACCCCAGTGGGAATCTTGGCTATCAATGCCTTCCCGGGTTGATCTCTCACAAAGAGTTCTCAGTAGCTGAAAGTCATTAATTCTTGGTGAGAATTCTTCAGGCTCTGCAGGGAGCCTTGGGGCAGACACCTGAGAAAAGGCTCTGGGACATGAGGGGGAAGTATTCTAAAGCACTGATTTTGACTATAATAAAAGGAAAAAAAATTAAGTCGTTGAAAATAACCACACTAGGCAACATCATAAGTAGAGAATTAAAGGTTTTAAGTTCTTAGCCCATGATACTCCAGGAGGAAAAGCAGACACAGCCTCTGATATAGGACTGGATATTTACCTGAGAAACTGCTGTTTCCTCCTCCTTTCTCCTCCTGTTCTGGGTCCTTTTTTCATCAATATTATGTTGAGGAATCACACCAGCATCTTGAGAATATGCCTTCAACGGTGTCAGCACAGCTCCTTCACCTGCTCCCAGCACAGCCACAGGCAGAAGGACCTTGAAATGCTGAAAAAGCCAACCTCTCCTGTCCTTCGTCTCCGGAGAGACTGGGGAACAATCAGCTACTACAAGGAAAACAAACTGAGGTTTTTCTTTGTTGTCTACACGTGTTCTCTCCTCATACAGACAACCAAAAATTCTTCTAACACAGAATATGTGGGCTGCACTGACACTCCCCTTCCAACCCCATGTACAGGCGACCCTGCTGCCTCTCCTAGGACTGAAGCTTTGTCTGAACTCTCACAAAATGTAGCCGGGAGCCGGCCCAGGCCTCACCTTAGAATCACCTGGAGCACTTAATACAAACAACCCTGACGCTCCCACAGCACCAATAGCCAGACTCTGTGGGGAGGGCACAGGTGATGTGATTTATTAATATTGGTCATGTGACACCACTGGGAAACCAGATGAGAATCACTTAGCTAAACGTTTTCTCTGAAGCTTTAAAGTGAATACAAATCCTTTTGGGCTCAGCTCCCCAATCTAAGAAGTTATGAATCAGCAGGTTTGAGGTGAACCCATGAAATGATATGTTTAACAAGTTCTCTGTTGGCGCTCATGTTACTACCTACAAGACCTGTTTTCCATAGCACTGAGCTAGAGATATCACACACAGCACACCTGAGACCTCTGAGTAGGGTGAGCAATTTGGGGCTGTAACTTCTAGAAGCACTGGCTCTGTCAGCCTGTTATCCTGGGGATGGGGCTCTTTTTGTTATGGGCATGGCCCTGTCATACCTAGTTCATATGCCCTTGGGGAAGGGGAGGTGAGTGATTGGCAGGTATCACACGATGGCATTGGGATTGTGTGAGACTTTGCTCTCAGAATTCTCTCAAAAGTTACCCTGAGTCCTTAGGTCCTTTCACCCCCTCCTCTCCCTGGGGCCACATGCATTCACAAAATGATTTGCAGCGACCTCCTATCTGTAGGTGAGGGAGCCTCCATCTTCAGAGAGGAGGTGCATGAAGGTTTTTACATCACAGCTTTCTTTGAAAATAAACCAAAGGCAGCAATGGAGGATGGATTAAAATGTATGTTGGAAAGGGACAAAAGCCTTTGGAAATGATGTCATAAATGTGTATTTGATGATACACAAAGGAAGTAATGATCAATATTAAGTAATAATGCACATTATAACTGAATTAACAGATGATTTTTTTGGTGTTTTTGCCCTATTGTATGTGTGTTTCTATGTTTTAAGAATTGTATGGCTATAGTTTGTTCTCTCCCCACTCCTTACATAATACTTATATTTTACCACATTTATAAAGTGCATTAATTGAGATAAAAATAAAAAAGGGAAACATGTCCATTTTCTAAATATTATTTGAGAGCATTAAATATTTTGAAATATCCTATTGTGTATGCACCCATACCAATGTAGTTTTTTTTTTAAGTTTAAAGAGTTTTGTTTTTTTTAAGAGTAATTTTATTTCTTGGGATTTTTTTTTTTTTTTTACATCTTTATTGGGGTATAATTGCTTTACAATGGTGTGTTAGTTTCTGCTTTATAACAAAGTGAATCAGTTATACATATACATATGTTCCCATATCTCTTCCCTCTTGGGTCTCCCTCCCTCCCACCCTCCCTATCCCACCCCTCCAGGCGGTCACAAAGCAACGAGCTGATCTCCCTGTGCTATGCATATATGTCCATGTCTCTCTCTCGCCCTAACACACCTCACCCTTCCCCCTCCCCATATCCTCAAGTCTGTTCTCCAGTAGGTCTCTGTCTTTATTCCTGTTTTACCCCTAGGTTCTTCATAACATTTTTTTTTTCTTAAATTCCATATATATGTGTTAGCATACGGTATTTGTCCTTCTCTTTCTGACTTACTTCACTCTGTATGACAGACTCTAGATCTATCCACCTCATTACACATAGCTCAATTTCATTTCTTTTTATGGCTGAGTAATATTCCATTGTATATATGTGCCACATCTTCTTTATCCATTCATCCGATGATGGACACTTAGGTTGTTTCCATCTCCGGGCTATTGTAAATAGAGCTGCAATGAATATTGTGGTACATGACTCTTTTTGAATTATGGTTTTCTCAGGGTATATGCCCAGTAGTGGGATTGCTGAGTCATATGGTAGTTCTATTTGTAGTTTTTTAAGGAACCTCCATACTGTTCTCCATAGTGGCTGTACCAATTCACATTCCCACCAGCAGTGCAAGAGTGTTCCCTTTTCTCTACACCCTCTCCAGCATTTATTGTTTGTAGATTTTTTGATGATGGCCATTCTGACGGGTGTGAGGTGATACCTCATTGTAGTTTTGATTTGCATTTCTCTAATGATTAATGATGTTGAGCATTCTTTCATGTGTTTGTTGGCAGTCTGTATATCTTCTTTGGAGAAATGTCTATTTAGGTCTTCTGCCCATTTTGGGATTGGGTTGTTTGGTTTTTTTTGATATTGAGCTGCATGAGCTGCTTGTATATTTTGGAGATTAATCCTTTGTCAGTTGCTTTGTTTGAAAACATTTTCTCCCATTCTGAGGGTTGTCTTTTCGTCTTGTTTGTGGTTTCCTTTGCTGTGCAAAAGCTTTTAAATTTAATTAGGTCCCGGTTGTTTATTTTTGTTTTTATTTCCATTACTCTGGGAGGTGGGTCGAAAAAAATCTTGCTGCAATTTATGTCAAAGAGTGTTCTGCCTATGTTTTCCTCTAAGAGTTTTATAGTGTCTGGCCTTGCGTTCAGGTCTTTAATCCATTTTGAGTTTACAAACACTGAAACTTTTAATGTCTTACACCTGTGTCTTTAGCAAATATCATATTGTTAAAATCATATATTATGTAGTCCTTTCAGATTGGCTTCTCTCACTTAGTAATATGTGTTTAAGGATCTTCCATACATTTTCATGCCTTGATGCTTACTCATTTTAGCACTAAATAGTATTCCATTCCCAGTATGTACCAGAGTGTATTTATCAATTCACTCACTGAAGGACACCTTGTTTGCTTTCAAGTTTTGAATAAAGGTGCTATAAATATCCATGTACAGGTTTCTGTGGAAGTAAATATTCTATTCCTTTCAGTAATTACCAATGAGCAAGCCTGCTGGACTGCATGGTACGGGGATGTTTATTATTGTAGAAACTGGCAATCTGTCTTCCAAAGTAGCTGTACAATTTTGCATTTCCACTCACAATGAATGAGATTTCCTATTGCTCCACATCCACCACAGCATTCGTTATTGACCCTGTTCAAATTCTGGTCATTTTAAGGGGTATTTAGTGTTATATCATTGAATATTTAATTTGTATTTCACTGATGACATGTGATGTGGTTCATCTTTCCATATGCTTATATGCCAAGTGTCTATCTTCTTTGGTGAGGTATCTGTTAAGTTTGTTGGCCCTTTTTTTTTTTTTTTTTTGTTTGCGGTACGTGGGCCTCTCACCGCCGTGGCCTCTCCTGTTGTGGAGCACAGGTTCTGGACGCGCAGGCTCAGCGGCCATGGCTCACGGGCCCAGCCGCTCCATGGCATGTGGGATCCTCCCAGACCAGGGCACGAACCCATGTCCCCTGCATTGGCAGTCAGACTCCCAACCACTGCGCCACCAGGGAAGCCCTGTTGGTCCATTTTTAATCCAGTTGCTAGTTTTCTTATTTTTTTCTTCCAATCTATCTTGTATCCAATCTGTATTCATTTTACTTCCTATTCTTGTCTAATTGCATTAACATGGACTTCTTATACAATATTGAAAAGAAATAGTGAAAGGAGACAACCTTGCTTCGTACCTGAACTTAGTGAGAAAGCTTCTTGTTTCTTATCATGGGTGATGTAAGCTGTAAGGTTTCTTGTAGATTTTCCTTATTAACATGAGGAAGCTTCTTTCTATCCCCAGTTTACACAGAGTTTTTATCAAGAATGGTGTTGAAGTTTGTCAAAATTTTCTTCTGCATATTGATATTATCATATATTTTTTCATCATTAGGGTGTTGATGACATGGATACAAGTACTTAATTTTGCAGTATTGAAGCAGCCTTGCTTGACTGGGACAAATCCCTTTTGGTCGATTGCACAATTCTTTTAAAACATTGTTGGATTCAACTTGCTAATATTTAATTGAGGATTTTTGCACCTTTGTTCCTGAGACATATTGGTCTGTTATTATGAATATTAGTAATGTTTTTGTCTGGATTTGGATATTCTGGTTTGATGTAAGACATCTGGGGAAATTTTCAGTCATTACCATTTCAAATACTTTATATTCCTTTCTCTCTTTATTCTCCTTCTCATATACCCATTGTACATATGACACACTGTTTTAATTGTTGCACAATCTTTTCATATTCTGTTCTGTTTTTCTTCTCCAGCACATTTTCTCTTTTGATCCAGTTTTGGAGGTTTTTACTATGTCTTCAAGCACAGAGATATTTTTCCTCAGCTGTGTCCAGTCTACTAATAAGCCTCTCAAACACATTCTTTATTTCTGTTACTTTTTTTCCTAATGTATAGCATTTCTTTTTTATTTTTATTAATTTTTTAATCTCTCTGCTTATATTGCCATCTAATCATTCATGCTGTTTATTTTATCCATCACAGCTCTTAGCATATCAATTGTAGTTGTTTAAAATTCCTGGCTATTTCCCCAATTTTTAATTCTACTTCTGTTTTTTGTTTTGTTTTGTTTTGTTTGTTTTTTGCGGTACGCGGGCCTCTCACTGTTGTGGCCTCTCCCGTCGCGGAGCACAGGCTCCGGATGCGCAGGCCCAGCGGCCATGGCTCACGGGCCCAGCCGCTCCGCGGCATGTGGGATCCTCCCGGACCGGGGCACGAACCCGCGTCCCCCGCATTGGCAGGCGGACTCCCAACCACCGTGCCACCAGGGAAGCCCTCTACTTCTGTTTTGATTAAGAATTCCATATTTACATTGGTTCCTTCTTCTCCCAGTTTACTATAAGCATTTAAGAGAAAGACGATTCCTTCAACATTTTGCTTAGACACTCCCTCAGTCAAAGTTCCAGTTTCATTACTCACAAAATCTACCTTCCAAATTACTCTAGGAGAGGACTACAATTCAGCCAACCTATTGCCACATTAAAACAGCAATCACTTTCCTCTAGTTTCCAATAAAATGTTCCATATTTCTGCCTCATCTGATTGTTCTTCAAAGTACAGATTTCTCCCCCAATTTTGTTTATGGACACTGAAGTATTCCTTAAGAAGTCTGAGGTTCTCTGTGGCTCTCCTCTTTTCCTTCTAAGCTTCCATCAGAGCTGTCCTTAATCGTTCTTTCATGGTGATGCAGTGGTTTTTTTCAGCAGGCACTTCCAAACTCTTCTGTACTCTATCAAATATGCAGTTCTAATGGCACTTCCACATTATTAAGTATTCTTTATCAGATGTACTCTTATTTCCCAGTACCAATTTTTGCCTTATTCTCTTTGGGTCGCTAAAAAAAGAAATACCAGAGCCTGGGTAGTTTATAAACAACTGATGATGATTTTTTTCCTCAGTGTGGCAAAGACTGGGAAGTCCAAGATCAAGGCACCAGCAAATTCACTGTCTACTAAAGGCACCATTTCTGATTCATAGAGACGGTCCTCTAGCTATGTAGTCAAATGTGACTAGGGGCAAATGAGCTTTTCTGCGGTACTATTATGAGGGCACGAATCCCATTTATCAGGTCACTTCCCTCATGACCTTATCATTTCCAATATCACCACCTCCTAATACCATCACCATTGGAATTGGGTTTCAAATACAAAAATTAGATGGACAAAAATGTTCACAACATCAGAGGAACCAATGAGAAAATTGATTATTTCTTTACTGCTGGAAGGTATGAACACTGTAAATTTGCTTACTTAGTCCCAATAAACTTTAAATTGGTAATAGGAATCTCACCTTTGTTATGTTTTATGAGCTACTCTTTTTTTTTTTGCTGTACGCGGGCCTCTCACTGTTGTGGCCTCTCCCGTTGCGGAGCACAGGCTCCGGATGCGCAGGCCCAGCGGCCATGGCTCATGGGCCCAGCCGCTCCGCGGCATGTGGGATCTTCCCGGACAGGGGCACGAACCGGTGTCCCGTGCATCGGCAGATGGACTCTCAACCACTGCGCCACCAGGGAAGCCCTATGAGCTACTCTTACTGGCAGCCTTGGGATTTGCATCCTGAATTCTTTTACTTGCAAAAATGCCCAATTAGCTTCTGAATATTATAGGAAAAAATGCCTTTTTACAGATCTCAAATTACATGCAATTTTACCCCAGAAATCATGTATTTTAAAATTTTCAACACTCACCTGATGTCTTTAAAAAATTAGCAGAAACATGTTTTGTGCTCTTTCAGCCACTCTAGATCTTACTGGCCACTTCCAAATGAAAATGTTTAAATGTGCTAATGTGCATTCATAACATCACATTTCAAATGAGTGCAATCTCCTCAAAGATGAAATATAAGAAGTTCATATTTAGGACCCCCCAAATCTTTACTCTTTGAATCTAAAATACCCTTCAGCTTAACACCACACTGTTCACTATTTTCTGGGATTTTTTTTCTTGAATGACCATCTTGGATGCTGTTTATGTCATGTAGCTTTTCCTACAGTTCCATGCATACTTTATTTCCGGGAAAATTATTATTCCAGATTGATAGTTGCACACACAAACACTTCTCCGTAAGTCTCAACTCCTGCTTAATACTGCCTAGACTCTGCAGCTCTCTTACGAGCATTAATAAAATTTCATTTATATAAGTATTTATATGATAATTGCACAATAATGTATTTAAAATTGTATTATGATGTATTGCTTCTTTAGGAGCACAAACTTAACTGTTTTGTTTACCACCCTTGTAAGTGACTGTTTAATAATTGTACTTAGGACTCAAAGAGGGATGAATAAACAGCTGTACAAAGTGCAAATACAAGCAATTTACATATGTCTCATAAGACTAGGTGGTTATTTAATCTTTATACAAGAAAAGAAGAGCCTGGATACTCTGAGGTCATGACTCATGAGAATATAGGGGCTTACGGTTGGGAAACATGCAGTAATCAGTGCAGCAGAGTTCACCAGCCACCTGCTGGGATTGTTAAAAAGAGCCAAACAAATGTGAAAGATTGAAGAGAGAGTGTACAAAGACACAAAAGTGCTCACCAGGACAAGGATGCTTTGGGTCGCTCTAGATTCAGGGGAGGATCTTGGAGAGATATTGGTTGTATGAATGTATAGCACACTTTGCTTGTGCCTAGGCAAGATGAAAACCATGGAGACACTGGACCAGGTCATGAGCACCAAACATGAAACATCAGGAAATAACAATAATCCTACATTCAGTAAGACAGTGATTCTGTTATGAATTAAAGCATAACAGAATCCCAAATCTTTTTTCTTTGTGATGTTTTTGTTACTCCAATTATCTGTCACATACCTAGTAAATATAATACTTATCAACATGTGCAGAATCCAGCAGAGGAAAATAGAGGATTCAATGTATTTGGGAACTTTCATTTTAAGCTGTGCCCACCTGGAGTTCCTGGGACTGATGTTGATGGTCTGGCAGACACTCAAGAGGCAGATGTTGCCAATGGACACATACCTGGCCTCTCTGTGAATACAGTAAACAATTTTGCATTCAATATCATTGAGAAAATGTTTCCACCCAAACGCTTCCATTGTCCTTGGGATTCCTGTAGAGAGCATGACCAAGGAGTTGGCTATAAGCAGATGCTCAACAATCAGATCTGTGAATCTTAGGCTGTATCCAGTGAAGTGACAGAAGAGATAATGGTAAAGAAGAGAGAAATTTCCCAGGATTCCAAGTATATTCTGGGATAGGAAGATCATTTTATTGCAAAATCTCTGATAGCCATCCTGTCAGTTCTCTGTGAATGATATTTCCCTTCTGAGCTAGAGTTTCCTGAACAGAAAGATGAGGCATGGGTTACATGTGTCATATCAACTGAAATCCAATCTTCTCAACTTATTTTTAGTTTCCACTGAGATAGATTACCTTAATGTTTTTCTTTTAATAAGAGGTTTCCAAGATTTTATTATATAAATTTTAAAGAGCTTTTATATGTCATATGATATCACTTATATGTGGAATCTAAACAAACAAAAAAATGGTACAAATGAACCTATTTACAAAACTGAAATTGAGTCACAGATGTAGAAAACAAACTTATGGCTATCAAGCGGGAAAGGGGGGAAGGTTAAATTGGGAGATTGGGATTGACATATACATATTACTATATATAAAACAGATAACTAATAAAACTTACTGTATAGCACAGGGAACTATACTCAATACTCTGTAATGACCTATATGGGCAAAGAATCTTAAAAAGAGTGGATATATGTATATGTATAACTGATTCACTTTGCTGTACAGCAGAAACTAACACAACATTGTAAATCAACTATACTCAAAAAAATTAATTTAAAATGAAAATAAAATAAAATAAAAGCAAAGAAAATCTGAAAAAAAAAAAAAAAAAAGAGTTCTACTGATGAGTGAATCACTGCTATGAAGGTCATACATGTACTTGGTAACTTCTTTATTTTTCCCAAACCTGTGAGAGGGAACTACTATTACTTTTATTCTCAAGAAGAGGAGAACTTAGGTACAGAGAAATGAAGTGATTGGACTAAATTTACACCATAGTTATAGGCAGGAAAGGACTTAAACTTGACTTTTCTGATAAAAAACCTAGCACGTTTAATCACTATGAGATACTGACAAATCCAGGTAGCTGTGTTCTCCTAATAGTTTAAATATATATTGAGCTGCTTTGATAATGTGTCATAATATTTTAAGTCAGTGGTCATTTATTTTATAATTTTAGTTGTAACAAGTTTCCATTATGTGTAAAAATTTATTTCATAGACAAATAACAATTGTTCATAAAGATTTAGAGATCTTAACCAAATGTAAATTCTGGGATTTTTAAATACTACAGAAAGCTGCCACATGGCCAAGTTGGATTTAATAAATACAAGGGCGGCTCAGTGTCAGGACCACAATAGAGAGTGTCACTCGCTTTTGTGCCTGAACAAAATGTAATACCACCAAACACAGGAATTATTGAATATCATACTGTGCCATAAAGTAGTGGATATGAATCACTAATGTGTAATATAATTGTTAGTGTAGAACAATTTTTATTAATTTCCGATCATGTATACATGAATGTATTAATTCATGAGTAAAAATATTAACAAGAAAGGTAGATTGTCTTATATTTTAACATTTAAGAAAGTATGCAAAATGGAATCTCTAATGTGTAAAACTGTGCTTTTTATTAAATTGGAATTAGACATTTTTAATCGATAGTAGAACATTTTTAAATTAGTGAAAGTATCACGATATATTTGTGTCTGACTGCGGCTATCTGAGATCATCATATAAATTTACATTTTTCTTATGTACTGATTCCTTTTCTTCAATAGGGAAGACAGACTCATCAAATTAAACAGACCAAAGACATTTTCAGGAGGTAACAATTACGGTCTCCATTAAGTACTCCATATACCCAGAGTTAGAGCAAACAGTTTTATACCAGGAACTGCCATTTCGATTCACCATTTCTGCACAGGCCTAAATGACTTGTAGATTCATCTTACTCTTTATGATAAGCAGAAGGTGTTATAGGCACACAGATCTGCAGCAATCCTGAAAATTTAATATATGGTTTCAGTAAACGAGGCTGAACTTCAGACTGCGTTCAAAACTACGGTTCTTAAGAAAATTAAAAGTCAAGCTGCATTATCACTTGGAATCAATGCTGGGAATCAAGGTCATTGTGGATTACACTAAATCATACTCTAGAAGTTAGAAGCCATTATGGATTGATGTTGGATCTATAATCCTGATGTCTCTTTACTAGTCCAGCTCAAGTCTCAGAATCATTCCTTCTTTCTGTGTGGCTTTGGCGCTGGACTAGATTTGAACACTGAAGAATTCCTCTTTCTGAGATAATCACTTACCCCTGTTCCTGATACTGGCAGACTCTCCCTCTCAGACTGAAATAAATATTGTTACACGACTTCTTTCAGTTCCCAGGATGCTGTGCAATGCAGTGAGATGGATTGAAAACCAGCACCTGTGTTACATGGGGGGCAGTCAGACCCCTAGATATGGGTTTACACTTCTGTGACCTCCCCTCCCCTCAGAACTGCATTTATCTTTTCACTTAGCTGCAGTGCGAAAGCAGGCTCAAGAGGATGTGTGAAAAACTTAATTAACTTTTTAAAAGCTGTTAATTACCATTAAAACTACAATCAATTTGTCATTCCCAAGGAGACCATTGTAGTGCTTTGAGAAAGCTTTTTCTTTTATATGATCTGGGGAGGCAGACAGGTTCTCATATGGAATGAGCAGGAAATATTGAGTTGACTGGTGAGAGTCTGGCAATGAAGCTCTTGTATCTTGCTGACTTCTCTGCTCCCCTGAGAAATTTTTCTACCCAACAGTGAGTTCTTTCCTAATCTTCAGACCCGCAAGCACCAGCATCAGTTAAGTATGAGCAGAGAAAAAGAACCAAAGTGCCTGAGAATTTCCAAGCCCTATAAGTAAAAGGAAGACCATGATGACAGCAATTTATATTATAAATTATTGCATATATTTGTCCAACTCAATGCCAATGAATTTGGAAGTCTAAGTGGTGATAAAGATGCTTTCTAGTAAAATGTATTTTTCCAATATGGACCCATTCTCAAGTAGTCTAAATAGAAAAATATACATAGAAATATATAAATCTATAAGCCTCTCCCCCCAAAAAGCACCTCAATAGTAAGTTTTAACAGATGCTACTATTTAACTGTCACATAAGTCATTGCTACTTGCTCAGTTCAAGAACGCTGAATGGGTACTACCGTCCTCTACATTTTTCCCCCTGCATTTTCAGCAAAATTGATTGCTTTTGTAAATAAATAAAATATAAAATGTGAGTTCAACTAATCCTTTTTTCTGCATACAAATCTACATTGTTTTTCTGGGTTTACTGTTCAAACCCTCCCAATTTCCAAGCCAGAAATAAGAGTAATATGCTAGACTCCCCCAGTAACTACTACATCTATATACACACACACGCACAGAGAATTTACGTTCATTTGTTATTGCCATAAAATCAGAGTGACTAAGATTGTTGTGGTCTGATAAAAGAAGAGGGATAAGCATGAGATGGAGGCTTGGAAGGTTAGTAGGTTGATTAGTAGTAAACCTACTAGTAGGTTTACACTCTCTTCTCCATCTTCCAAGTCTGTGTTGCTCTTTGTAATAATCCCAGTTGGTTACCAGTGAACATCCCTGCATTCGTTGCTGCATGTTTCCCAACTGTCAGTCCCTTTCTTCTCACAAGCCATAAGGTCAATGTAATACAGGCTCTGCTTTGCCTGTGTAAGGAACGCAAAAGCTCCTGATCTTATCAGAAAGAGATAAAGTTATGTTTTTGTACCATGTTCACTTGTGTATTCACTCATCCTCACGGAGCTGTAAGTGAAATTATGGAAGTCACATCACAAGGGAATGGTGCACAAGACATAAAATTCTGCCCCATAGTAAACGATGAAAAGTAGTAGCAACTGTAAATGAAACACTATGTAATTACTTATACAATTGAATTGTATTAATGTTTTTAGTGGGGTAGTTCAGAGTCAATGAAATTTTAAAAAAGCAGAAACAAAAAAACACACAAGCCTGACACAATCTGGACGTCCTAAGGATGTCTTTGAGTGTGTAACTTTCAATTTCACATAATGAATTTATCCAGAAATTAACTAAACATGGAATTTCTGGAAAAGTTCCATGAAAAAAAAGAATAGCATGTAGGATTGTCATTAAGAAACTGAAGAGAAAAATGTTCTCAGGGAGTAATGAGGTACCATGGGGTGAAGATGGAATGGAAATCAGTTTCAGAGAGTAGGTATATTGGGAGCCAAGTTATGAAATTTGTATGTTACATCGTTATAAAGATGGTGCTCATGTGAAGTATAATGATATATAGGAAGACAGCATATTTAATTTTTTTTTTCATGTAGCAATGGCCAGATTAAATGGAGTGGGGAAAAAGAGAGTTTAAAGATGTTTTGGACAATTTTTAAAAAAGAAAAAAGAAACCATGAGGTGAGTGAGAAAATTTAAAAACACATGATGTTTGGGATAAGATGGCACGGATTTTGTCATCTGTAGAAGATAGATTTTTCTGTAGAGTGTGAGGATGCCAGCTGACCGTATTGGAAAGAAAGCGATTTGAAGGAGTACTCTCATGTCAATTACATGAGGAATTAAGTGGAGGTTTTTACTAAACACACACAGTGGGGAATAGTTATTTGGGGAAGAAAGTCATGAATCCTTTTTGTTTCTGTGGAGTTGATGGCAGGTGGATTTCTGCAGGAGCAAAACAGTTGTCTCAAGTATAGGAAATACGTTAATATAGCTATCTCTGTAACGTATTAAAGATACAATCAATTGAAAATCAAAGAATGAGTTTGAAATAATGGATATTGATATGTTGAACCTTGTGGCCTGGAAATAGAGAAATACAAATTTTTAGCTGAGAAGAGGCACTTTGAAATATTTACCACGTATTAGACCATAAACATATAAATATATATATATATATGATGTTAGATGATGTTTGTTATTCATCAAGTAATAGTACTGGGAAACTGTACCTTAATAAATGTTGTAACAGTACCATTTAATTATACTGATGACCTACTGTAAAGTCTATTATATGGTCATGTTGTGTATTTAATAGGTTAAAAAGCCATGACATAATTATTTTTTTTTTTTTTTTTTTTTTGCTGTACGCGGGCCTCTCACTGTTGTGGCCTCTCCCATT